TTACTGTCCGAATCCCGTTTCGATTCTATTTCGGATGTGTTGATGTTCCCCTATGCATCTACCTCTCTCAAATCTACTGGCTTTAAGCCTAATCTACAACGTGCTCTTTACTTCTTACTCTTGCTCTCTATCTTTTTCTGATTAAAGGCTTAAGATTCAAGTCAGAAAGAGATAAAGAGAAAAAAACAGGAAACAAAGAATATATTGTACAATTCACGACCACCCGTCCATCCCTTTTATTTTGAAAAAGGATGATGCTAGGAAATTTGGAAAACATATTTCTTATAAAAGCTCGTCTGATGTTTCTGATGGTGCTATTTCCATGTTTGGACAACTTCCGGAAATTGGAGGCAACTTTAAAATTTTAAATGCTAACACAAAGCAGCATGGGTATCGCTGGATAGAGCGTGTAAAAAAAACGACTTTTACTTGAAACAAAATCTGATGTTATTTACCGTTAATGGAAAAAAAAACATTTGCAATTATTATAACGCTCAGTCTTCTTACTCGTGGAATGGATTGTGTGTGCTAAACATAAACATGAGTCAAACAACGCCCAACAACAAAAGAAGACATGCAACTGCGGATTGTAGAAGCCTGCCATTTTTTAAATCCTGTAGAAGTTCGAGAGACTGTCGACAGCGTGAGACAAAGAGTGGAAAGATGTCTTCATGAAGATGGCAGACACTTTGAACTTTATTAATTATTTAGAGTTTTTCAAACGTTAGTGTTTTGTAATACGTATTTTGATAATTACGAGTTATGTTTGGCACGCAATCCATAAGATTGAGCGTCATAACAATTGCAAGTGTTTCTTGTTTATTTCTCGTTAACAGTAAATAATATCAGATTTTGTTTCAAATAAAAGTTTCTTTTTACACGTTCTATCCAGCGTTCATGCTGATGTTGCTCTATGTTGCTATTTAAAATTTTAAATTTGCCTCCAATTTCTGGTATTTCCGGAAGTTATCCAAACATGGAAATACCATTATCAGAAGCTTCAGACAAGCTTTTATAAAAAACATGTTTTCCGTCATCCTTCTTCAAAATAAAGGGGATGGACGGGTGAACACCTTGTAGATTAGACTCTTTTTTTCTTTTTATCTCTTTCAGATTCAAACCTTAAGCCTTAACCCATTCAGATCTTATGTACATAATTTTGCATAACAACTTTGAAGCCTTGTAAAATTATGATTTTTTGTGAATTATTGCTCTGAATTTTCTGGGTGGACTCGGTAACTAATTCTTGTCGGTTTTAAATAAAAAAAAATGATGTTATCTATGATAAAAAATTATCAGTAACGGAAATTCATATTGGTGTTAACTCAAATTCATAACATGAGCGAAGATGGCAACAGGCAAGCATTTTTTTAATTTATATTTGAGTTATTTTATTGCATTTTTAAGTAATATATCTTTATAATTACTTAGTAATATAATTAAATAATATGTTTCTGTAAAAATGTAAACGCTGGTTCTATTAAATATATACACTTGAGACTCAATGTGCCTAATTGTGCCCATGCTGGAAAACTCGGAAAATTCCATAAATATTAATTTTTTTTATATTTTTATTATTATTAAATTCTCACCACTAATAACCAATGTGTAAATATTTTTTTATATTATGAGAAGTAAATCGGATCTGAAGGGGTTAAGAAGATCGAGAACAAGTAACAGGAAGCAAAAAGCATATTGTAAGTTAGGCTTCAGTCTCTGTATAACACCAAAACCGTGCTAATAACAAACAAGCACGCGAAACAAAACGCGGATTATTTTGTTCAAATCAGTTATGTATAGGAAGAAGAAACCAAACGTCGAATATATATATATGATAAAGAGTTCATCTCGTCCCGAGTCTCGCGCCAGATCGGCTCTCATAATCATTATTGATTGTATCAGTGTACAATAAGGTTATAAGTTATGATAGTTAAATACGAGTAATCGACTCTCCTTCTGGAAACTTCCAATCACGCGATGCTGGATTTTCCTCTTTAAAATTCAAACACGCTGATAGTTGTGCATGCGAGCGAGAGACTGAAAGACGCGGTGCATCTGACCTTTCGACGACAGTTTCCAATCTCCCGAGATAACAGCAGAAACAAATCTCACTTTTGCTTACAAAAGCTCAAGAGTTCCATGGAAACTCTTCCAAATGCATGTAAATTTAGGCTATCAAGAAAAGTATAAACAGCCTATAAATATCCTTCCTTAATATACTTAAACATCAGTTTGAAACGAAAAATCTTGTTTATAAAAATTTAAGTCTAAAATAATTTAAAATAGAAGAAACCGACCAATTAATGAAGTATTATCTAACGAGCAATACTGAACAAAAGAACGTCTCATTAGTTAAGTTATTGGGAGAGAATCGATACAGGAGCGATTATTATTTTTTTCTTTTAGTATTTGTAACCAAATTTATCCTTGTATATTATAATCATTGATAGCTAGTGCGCTAGAATCTTTTTTTTTTTCTTTTGAAATCTTGGTAATCCTTGGCTTTCTTGAAAGATATTCGAAATCTTGCGGCAAGATCTCATATTTGCGCAACGTGATTCTTTCGAGAGGCGTAGCTTCTGATTTCGTCTCGACGTGTATCTGAAAACGATTGAGATTCCGACAGCGATGCGTCCAGACAGACATTGTACAGACGTAATCGCTTCGCCAAGCAACGTCTCGCGTACCTATACGGTCAACACCGACAGATTCCTTGCTCTGCACTCTGACGTGACTCCGCTGCGTTTGGTCGCAGGTCACCTTGGCGTTAACCCGACACGTCATCGATCCTTTTCCCATAGCACGAAAGCGTGCTATAACGGTTGCTTATGTCAATTATCTCGCGAAGATATTCCGTAGCGCCTCGGGACCGGTAGTCAATGTTTTAATCTTCCAAGATAATAGTAGTGAGAACAATGTGTGTCAAAGGAACAATTCTATGTCTCCTTTTTCTGCTTTTTTTTTTTTTTTTTTTTTTTTTTT